GTGGCGCAGCGAGACCAGGACCGAACCCCAAAGCCCGGAGGCCCCCCATTGCGCTGGGGGCGGGGGCCCACTCGGGCACCCCCGGGCCGGGAGCAGGAGGAGGAGGAGGAGGAGGAGGAGGAGGAGGAGGAGGAGGAGGAGGAGGAGGAGGAGGAGGAGGAGGAGGAGGATATTTGTTTCTGACATTCGCTTCGGGGGTGCACTAAGGCAGCGGCCTGACGCGAAAGCAGCAACTGGCCCTCCAAGAGGCCTTGCCAAAGACGCGAGGCGCTACAACCCTACCCCAGAGGGGAGAGAAGGAGGACGAGGAAAAAGAGGAGAGGAAGGAGGAGAGGAAACTACCCATACTAGGGTTGACGGCCGAATAGGCGCGTCTAGGGTCGCTACCCCACCAGCGCGTCGCAATTCGTAATTCGTAGGCCGAATAGAGGCGTCACGAGCCGAATAGAGGCTTCAGGCCGAATAGAGGCTTCAAGCCGAATAGAGGCTTCCCGAGCTTCAATGGGCGTCAGGGGAAGAGGCTTCCGGCCGAATAGAGGCGTCACGAGCTTCACCAGGCGTCAGCGGAATAGAAGCGTCACCGCAGCTCCTTGGGGGAATAGCGTCTTCAAATAGCGTTTTCGCCGCCGGCTCGAGCTGGGACCCCCCAGGCCAGGCCCCTGTGTATATATATATATATATATATATATATATATAAGATATAAGATATATAATATATAGATATATATATATGAGGGCGGTGTTGACAAGGACCGGGGCGGGTAAAGCAAACCCCGGGTCCGGGGTCCGGGCCAGGTCCGGGCCGGGTCCGGGCCGGGGAAGCCGGGTCCGGGAGGGTCCAGGCCGGGTCCGGGTATGGGCCGGGATTGGGCTGGGCCGGGTGCGGGTCCGGGCCGGGTCCGGGCCGGGACGCCGAGTCCAGGCCGGGTCCAGGTCTGGCCCGGTCCGGGCCGGGTCCGGGCCGGGTCCGGGCCGGGACGCCGGGTCCAGGCCGGGTCCAGGTCCGGGCCGGGTCCGGGCCGGGTCCGGGCCGGGTCCGGGCCGGGTCCGGGCCGGGTCCGGGCCGGGTCCGGGTCCGGGCCGGGTCCGGGCCGGGTCCGGGCCTCCCTGACTCCTGATCCGCCGTACTTTGGATGATTTTCCGACCTAAAATTGTGTCGGAAATCGACGCCAAAGGAGCCTCAAGGGCGGAAATCGACGCTCAAAGGGGCCTCAAAAGTAGGGCGGAAATTTCCGCCCTACTTTCGAAATCGCCCAAAGTAGGGCGGATCAGGAGTCAGGGCTGGTCCAGGCCGGGTCCGGGCCGGGTCCGGGCCGGGTCTGGGTCTGGGCCGGGTCCGGGCCGGGTCCGGGCCGGGTCCAGGTCCGGGCCAAGCCTGGGCACCGGGCCTGGGCCAGGTCCGGGCCGCAACGATGTCGCTCAAGAGCCCCAAAAAATTCTCGAAGAAGCACCCTGGAAGCTTCAAAATTGTTCCCGCGAGGCCCCCGCGGAAACCTCAAGACACCCGAACCAGCATCCAACAAGCCTTTGACCCACATCCCAAACATGGTGGCGGGATGGGCCGAAGGCCACTGGATCCGCCGCCCCTTGTTGATTTGTCACAGCGGTGCCTGCATAAACCGGATGATAATTAATGATTTTGGCCTCTTCGGGCCTGCCCAGGCTTCTTGGGCCGTCTTGGAGGCCTCTTGGAAGCCTTTTGGGCCGTCTTCGGACATCTTGAGGCCCTCTTGGGCCGACCTAGTGGTTGTTTAGCTGACTTGGAGGAATCCTGCACCCTCCCGGGCCGTCTGGAAAGCCATCTTGGACCATCTACGGCCCGAGAACCGACCCGTATGTTGAGGGCGGTTTTTCGAGAGGCCAGCGCGCTCGGCGAAGCCCCAAGGGGATTTTCCTTTGGAGAAGAACCAAAACCACGGCTTCAGACGTATAGCACGCCAGGATGTTGGCATTTACTTCTATCGGCTTTCCGACGGCCCAAAACTGCCCAACCGTCCAAATCGTCTCAAAATCGGCCAAGAGGCCTCCAAGATAGCCCCAGAACGGCACAAGAGGCCCCCAAGACGGCGCTTTAAGAGCTCCAAGACGGCCCAAGAGGTTTCCACGACGCCCGAATTGGGCCTCCGAGACGGCCCTGATGCATCCAAAGGGGGGCCCAAGTCGGTGCAGAGATGGCCCCAAGACGGCTCCCGACGGCGTCAGACGGGCCACGAGCGCGGTAAGACGGCCACAGACGCCCCCACGAAAACCGCAAAGGCCCCCGGGAGGCCCCCAAAAGGCCCCCACGAGGCCTCCAAGAGGCCCCCAAGAAGCTCCCAGGAGGCCCCACGAGTGCCCCAAGAGACTCCCAAGATGCCGCCTCCTCCTCCTCCTCCTCCTCCTCCTCCTCCTCCTCCTCCTCCTCCTCTTCCTCCTCCTACTCCTACTCCTACTCCTACTCCTACTCCTACTCTTACTCCTACTCCTCCTCTTTCGGCATCCCCTCGAAAGAGTTTTTCCATATTTTCGCGTGGCAGAGTGCTCAGGTGGGACAACAGCGGGTGGACCACAGCTTTCAATCCCGAAAGCTCGATAGATCCCGCGGCCCACCACAGATTTGCTCACGAATTTACCCTTTCTCTGGGATGCAAGAAAAATTATAGCCGGAGTGCAGTATCCCCAAACAGGGTTTTTAGACCCACTGCGGTTTCCAAGGTCGATTGCGTGCCCGTCCAGTGCGGGCTGGCATGGCATGTTAAAACATGCCTCCTCCTGCTCCTCCTGCTCCTCCTGCTCCTCCTGCTCCTCCTCCTGCTCCTCCTCCTCCTCCTGCTCCTCCTCCTCCCTCTTCCTCCTTCCCTCTCCCTCTCCTCAGCCTCTTAATCATCCCGAACGGCATCTCGGAGCCCAGAGTTGCGAGGATGTCTCCAGCGTAACGGGCTGGACCACCTCGCGCGCGGCATTGCGGACCCCAGAGTTGCGACGATGTCTCGGGCGAAACGTGCTGCGAGGAAGTCTCAGGCGAAACGGGCCGGACCACCTCGAGCGCGGCGTCTCAGAGCTCCGAGTTGCGGGGGCCTCCTGGGGCCTCCTGGGACCTCCTGGTGACCTCCTGGGGCTTCCTCCTGGGCCTCCTGTGGCCTCCTGGACCCCACCTGGGGCTTCCTGAAGCCTCTTGGGGCTCCCAGGGGGGATATCTAACATGTGGCCGTCGGGGCTCCCCAAAATGGGGGAGGGGGGCCACAAGAGCAGGAAAAATCAACGAATCGACACCGGATGTGTATTAACACTTGACACGTTCTGATAGGGGGCCGCCTGGGGCCTCCTGGGAGCCTCCTGGGAATCTCCTGGAGACCCTTGGGGCCTGTCCTGGGCGTCCTGCGGCCTCCTGGAGCTCTGTGGGGCCTCCTGGAAGCCACATGTGGTCTTCTGGGCCCCCAGGCTGGACCACCTCTTGCGCAGCATCTGAGAGCTCAGAGTTGCGAGAATGTCTTGTGCGAAACGGGCCGGACCACCTTGCGCACGGCATCTCAGAGCTCAGAGTTGCGAAGATGTCTCAGGCGAGATGGGCCGGACCACCTCGCACAGGGCATCTCGGAGCCCAGAAATGCGAGGATGTCTCCAGCGTAACGGGCTGGACCACCGCGCGCGCGGCATCTCGGACCCCAGAGTTGCGACGATGTCTCGGGCGAAACGTGCTGCGAGGAAGTCTCAGGCGAAACGGGCCGGACCACCTCGAGCGTGGCGTCTCAGAGCTCCGAGTTGCGGGGGCCTCCTGGGGCCTCCTGGGACCTCCTGGTGACCTCCTGGGGCTTCCTCCTTGGCTTCCTGTGGCCTCCTGGACCCCACCTGGGGCTTCCTGAAGCCTCTTGGGGTTCCCAGGAGGGATATCAAACCTGTGGCCGTCGGGGCTCCCCAAAATGGGGGAGGGGGGCCACAAGAGCAGGAAAAATCAACGAATCGACACCGGATGTGTATTAACTTGACACGTTCTGAGAGGGGGCCTCCTGGGGCCTCCTGGGAGCCTCCTGGGAATCTCCTGGGGACCCCTGGGGCCTGTCCTGGGCGTCCTGCGGCTTCCTGAAGCTCTCTGGGGCCTCCTGGGGCTCGCAGGGTCCCAGGGGGGATATGTAACATGTGGTCTTCTGGGCCCCCAGGCTGGACCACCTCTTGCGCAGCATCTGAGAGCTCAGACTTGCGAGAATGTCTTGTGCGAAACGAGCCGGACCACCTTGCGCACGGCATCTCAGAGCTCAGAGTTGCGAGGATGTCTCAGGCGAGATGGGCCGGACCACCTCGCGCAGGGCATCTCGGAGCCCAGAGTTGCGAGGATGTCTCCAGCGTAACGGGCTGGACACCTCGCGCGCGGCATTTCGGACCCCAGAGTTGCGACGATGTCTCGGGCGAAACGTGCTGCGAGGAAGTCTCAGGCGAAACGGGCCGGACCACCTCGAGCGCGGCATCTCAGAGCCTAGAACTTCGAGGATGTCTGATGCGAAACGGGCCAGACCACCTCTCGCGCCGCATCTGGGAGCTCAGACTTGCGAGGACGTCTCAGGCGAAACGGGCCGGACCACTCCTCGCGCGGCATCTGGGAGCTCAGAGTTGCGAGGATGTCGCAGGCGTAACGGGCCGGAATACCTCGCGCACGGCAACTCAGAGCCCAGAGTTTGGAGGATGTCTCAGGCGAGACGGGCCCGACCACCTCGCGCGCGGCCTGTCAGCCCAGAATTTCGAGGAGGTCTCAGGCGAAAAGGGCCAGAAGACCTCGCGCGCGGCATCTCGGGGCTCAGAGTTTGGAGGATGTCTCAAGCGAAACGGGCCAGACCACCTCTCGCGCGGCATCAGAGAGCGCAGAGTTGCGAGGATGTCTCATGCGAAACGGGCCAGACCACCTCGCGCACGGCATCTCGGAGCCCAGAGTTGCGAGGAAGTCTCTAGCGAAATGGGCTGGACCACCTCTTGCGCGGCATCTCAGAACTCAGAGTTGCGAGGATGTCTCAGGCGAAACGGGCTGGACCACCTCTTGCGCGGCATCTCAGAGCTCAGAGTTTCGAGGATGTCTCAGGCGAAATGGGCTGGACCACCTCTTGCGCGACATCTCAGAGCTCAGAGTTTCGAGGATGTCTCAAGCGAAACGGGCCAGACCACCTCGCGCACGGCATCGGGGAGATCAGAGGTTCGAGGATGTCTCAGGCGAAACGGGCAGTGGACCACCTCTCGCGCGGCATCTTGGAGCTCAGAGTTTCGAGGATGTCTCAGGCGAAATGGGCTGGACCACCTCTCGCGCGGCATCTCAGAGCTCAGAGTTTCGAGGATGTCTCAAGCGAAACGGGCCGGACCACCTCGCGCACGGCATCGGGGAGATCAGAGTTTCGAGGATGTCTCAGGCGAAACGGGCCGGACACCTCGCGCGCGGCATCTTGGAGCTCAGAGTTGCGAGGATGTCTCAGGCGAAACGGCCCGGACCACCTCTCGCGCGGCATCTGGGAGCTCAGAGTTTGAGGATGTCTCAAGCGAAACGGGCCGGACCACCTCTCGCGCGGCCTCTCAGAGCTCAGATTTAGGAGGATGTCTCAGGCGAAACGCTCAATCCCGGACAACTCAGAAACGAGAGTTGTGAGGATGTCTCAGGCGAAACGGGCCGGACCACCACATTTGTTTGAGGATGTCTCTGCTTAGCTTTCCCTCGGCCGGAGTTAGCTTCTATCACAACAACACCCCGTTCAGCAAGCTGTTTGGGGAACAATCGGACAAGGTCTGATTATCTGTATGTGGTCACGTGGCTTCCAGGAGCTCCACCATGGAGGGCGTTTCATCAACATCATCGTCATCACCATCATCATCAACATCATCATCGTCATTAGCAGCGTCACCACCAACATCATCACCATCATCACCATCATCGTCATCATCATATTCCTTCCTATCCTGATCCTCCCTTTCATCCTCCCCCCAGCGTTCCCCCAAGAATTTCCACAACGGCTGGGGGGACGCGTAATCCGATAGCCTTCCCCGAGAATTTCCACAGCGGCTGGGGGGACACATTATCCGATAGCTTGGCCAAGCTAGGGTCCAACGTTTGGCCACAGAGGCGCTCCCCAACAAGCAGGGGGGCGGCGGTGGTTGGCTGTGTGCGTCTTCGATGATGATGATGTTGATGGTGATATGATGCTATCGTGTGGCGGTGACGATTGGGAAAGGTGAAGCCACTCCCGCTTCGGACATCGAAGGGCAGCGTGTCCATGTGATCGCTGGCAAAGAATATAAGAGACGATAAGATCGAATGGATGGGCGCGCCTGCGTTTTCTCCAAAGTCCGCGTGGAATGAATCAAAAACCAAGGCCGCAACCATGTGTGCAGCGAGCGGCACCGAAGCGGAAACGCCACCATGTTCGCGCGCCGTGCCGACATCAGGCGGCGTTCTTCAAGATGTCCCCCAGAAGGGAGGCCTTGCTCATGAAGTTTGCCAAGTCGAAGTCCGACGACGGCACCCGAGCATCATTTGCATCCTTCATCTTCTTTGTGCCTTTTGGCGTAAGGCCCAAGCGTGATTGGAGCTCCTGGTGAACAGCGTCTTTGTGCTCGGCAGGCACCTGGTGCATTTGCACCGCGGACCCTCCGCGTTGGAGCGTTCCGAAGCCAGCGGAATCGGCAAACCGAATCATCAGGCGCATGGAGCTCTCGATGACCTCTGGGGTGGCCCCAGTGAACGAGGACTTGTTATTGGCAGCCGCGTGCGGGTTCTGAGCGCTGCTCAGGATAGACACCAGGATCCTCTTCTTGAGCCCGGGCTCCTCCTCGAAACTGTCCTCCGCCAGCGGGGCCTCAGTGCGCATCCTTTTGCGAGAGCCCCCAGCTCCTGCTGCTGCCTCGTCTGCGGCCGGGAGCGCGGCTTGCGTGAGCCCCGACGCTGTCGCGGCCGAAGCGCCCAGCTGGCTCGGCGGGCCCGCGGGCGGAGGGGCGCCCACCTGCGACGCCGGCACGCTCTGGCCGCGCACCTCGGCGACGAGAGGGGCCTCCAGAGCGCGGAGCTGGTCGAGATCCACCGGCTTGCCGTCGAGCATGTCCTTTAAGCCTGGGCAGATCTGATCGGCCACGCCTTGGCCCCCCTCCTCGCGCGCGCCCGCAGCGCCCTCGGGCACCAACTCGCGCAGGTCGCGGAGGACGACGCTGGGGTCCCACTTCATCACGCGGTTGGCGGCTCTCACGAAGCTCTCGCTGTCGGCCGCGCACGCAACCACAGTGACGCGACCGTCTACGACGAGGAGGAAGCCCATGTGCGTCAGAATGACGTAATCCAGCTGCAAAGCCGGGATGTCGGCGTCGGTGGTGAAGGGGTTCTGCGCGAAGGCTTTGACGTTCCAATTGTTGGCGATGCGCTGCAAGGTCAGCATGGGGTTCACATTAGACACGATATCATGCCCTACGAGCCTTTCCGCAGACGCGAGGGTGGGGGGCGGCATGGATGCGAAACGCGCGCGGGCCTCCATGAAGTCTTCGGTTACCTCCTTGGCGCGCGCCGTCATCTGGAAGTTCTTGGCAAACCAGTCCCCAATGCCACGGCGGCGTCAGCTGATGGCCGCGTCACCTCGGGGGGAATGTGGGGCGGGTCCAAGTCGTCCAAGAGGGCATCGATGTTCGCGTGGGCATGCTTTCCCAAACATTCCACAATCTCCTCCCCAGTCATCTCCTGTACCTGGTTATCACTCTTGCCGGCCTTCCTCAGGAGGAATGCCACCACTTTCTCCCCCGCGTCGATCGGCGGGATGAACTGGAGCGTCCGCGTCATGTCCTTCCGGACGGCGGAATATCCACTGCCCTCGTTTTCCCCCTTGGACGGCCGGGCCTCGCCGCGGGCGAAATCGGCAGACTCGTTGAACTCGGCGCGGAAGTGCACCTTGACTTCTGGGGCCCAGGGCAGGAAGTGCGCCCCGCGAGCTCTGGAGAAGCGGTCGCTCGAGCCCCTCTCGTCACGGCGCTCCTTGCCCTTCGGGAACAGAAGAGACGAGACCAGCATGACCCCCCCCCCCAGCGCTTCCACGACGTCGTCGTAGGTCAGATCGTTGAAGTAATTCGGGTCGCTATCCAGGATCCGGGCAAGCTGCGGCGGGGGCAAGTCGGGCAAGATCTTGATGACCACCGCGATGAAGTGGCCCACGAGGAAGCGCATCATGCCCGCTGTTGAGTCTGGTTTCTGCGCCTGGTCATCATCCTCTTCGACGCGCATCATGACTGCCCCGCGCAAGCGCGGGCTCCTGACGCGGAACCTGTTTTGGCTGTTACCGGGGTGATTATTGTAGAGGTCGTGGTCGTGGATTTGGTTGAGGTCATCAATCCCGCCGCCAGGCCTACTGTCGAACGTCTGGGGCATCCGCGTCTTCCCCTCGTGCAGCGCCAAGAACGCGGCATCCTCTTGCGCCTGCATGAACCCTCCAAGGCCAATGAAGGAAGGTACCCTTGTTGAAAATGGAATCCTTCTCTGGCTTCTTTTCTGGCTTGGGTTCGGTCTCCGGGTCTCGCCCATGCCTCTCGACAGCGGCATCGTACCTCCGCTTGGCGCGGGCCTCTCTCACCTGGTCGTAGTAGGACAGGATCTGAACGTCGAGCCACAAGGCAATGGACTTGCCATCTCCCGGCTCGCCGCGCTGCAGCATGAGCAGGTTGCAGTGGCGCGCAAGGATCCCGCCGCACTTGAGCTGGGCGGCGCCCAACGTCGTCGCAATGAGGAGCAGGATGTGGACGTGCACGCAGGAGGGGTGCAGCGACGTCGCCTTCCCCAGCGCAGTCGCGATGGCCCACATCAGCGGCGCCGCGCGCCGCGCGACCCCCTCGGGAAATGGGTTTTGACTCTCCATGTGGCGATAGGCTGCTAGGATCCCCCCCTTGGTGAGCGCGGGGGGTAGCGCGCCCTCCGCGGGGCGGGCCATTCGACGGGCGCCCTTCCCCGCCCCGGCGACGCCCGCAATGCGGAAACACAGCGCGAACATCAATGCGCTGGCAGGCGGCATGGCGGCCAGCAGCCCGGGCATAGCAGGGGCGGGCGGGCGGCGCGGCCAGCGGGCGGCGCGCCGCGCAGACTCGGTCGATGAGGTCTGCGGCGGCGAGAGAGCTTGCCGCGGGCGGGCTCGGAGGGGGCCCCGCGGGGGGCGCGGGTGCCTCGCGGGGCCAGTTCGCCGCATCGAATAAACGCAGTGCCCAGTGGCGCCGCTCCTGGGCCTCGTCAAGAACCGCCGGATTTTCCTGCGGGCGGCCAAATGCATCGCTGGGACGGCGCGCCCTTGCGCACGCGGCCGAGGGGGGCGACGGGTGGGCCTGCTGGCTCGGCGGGGGAGAACGACTTGGATTCGGCGACGCATCGACGATGGGTCGGCATGGGCCGCGCGGGGCCCGGGCCCCGATCGGCGACGCAATGGCGACGTGAGGTCGATCTTCCCCGCCTGCGCAAACCCCGCCAATCGCCCCCCTTGGCGTCGCTCGGGCCCGCCGCGGCTTTGCGCGGGGGCGGGGCCACGGCGGGCGCGCAATCGAGGTCGCCTTTGCGGTCTCGGCTGCCCTGGCCCAGATCGCTCTGCTCAAGCCGCCGGGCGCGTGCGCGGGGCCGGCAGGTCAGGGTCGTGCTTCAGGGCCCCGGCGGCGAAGCGGCGGCGCTTGCTCGCCGCCGCGCGCTGCAGCCACTCGTTATGGACATCGAACAGAATCCGCAAGCCCCGATGGGGGCGCCCGTCGGAGCAGCGGGGCGCGGCGCGCGGGGGGGGCGCCCCGAAGTTCTCGACCTGGGAGCCCCCAACCTGCCTCCCCCCACCCCCCCAGCAAAGAGCGCTCGCGGGCCCCGCGAGCGTGGAGGGCTCAGTCGGGAATGGCGAATCAGCCATGATATCCACCAGTGGAGCTGGAAGTGGGCCCTCGTCATCTCGAGGCACATGCGCGTCCGGGGGCTGATCCGCGCATTGAGCTGCTCGCAAGCCTCCGTGTTCTTCTACGCCAAGAACTTCTCGTACGCCGGCTGCAGCGGGTCAACTTCCGGGAGCGCATTCAGACGCCGCGCGTGGTTGCCCCCGTGGAAACCGTCCAGGACAACGCGCACTTCCTCAGCCAGCGATTTCGCCCACGGCAGAAAATCATCTTTCTTGGCGCGTGCCATGGAGAGCAACATGCAGGCGTTGTCGTAGCCGAGCCACCCGATGACGCAGCCGAGGTCCCGGGCGTCCTCTTAAGCGATCGAGAGGCCCACGAAGGCGAGCGGGGGCTCCGCAGGGAGGGAACAGGCAAACTTGGACAACGCAGCGCAGCTGCACTCGCGAGTCGCGCGGCGGGGGCCGCCCGGAGCTCTTCGGCGCTCTGTTGTCCCGCTCCTACCCCATATCCCCCCTTCTGGGGATCCGCCCATCTTCGCGGGGCGCCAGATCGAGCAAAGTACCCCGCAGCGACGAGGGTCCTTGTGGAGCCGCAAGGCGAAGGCGTGCACGACCTCGATGGATTCGCCGCGGGTCTGCTCCATCCAATCCATGAGCCAGCCGCAAGACGTGACGGCCGTCATAATACCGCCAGTGCATCTCCGGACTTTGTCGGAGCCCTGGAGCTCGTCGACGCCGCAGGCCAGGATCGACTGCTTCTGTTCCTTGTCCAGCGCAAGCCAGCCGCGGCAAAGCTGGCGCTTCGCACCTGCAGCGTCGCCGCCGCCGCCGCGCGTGGGGCGACTCGGCGGCTGTGGCGCAGGAGGGGCGGGCGGCCGTGAAATCGGGGCGGCCAGCTCGCTTCGGCGCGGGCGCCTTCCGCTTCCTTGGCAGCCTTGCTGCCGCTGGTCGGCGGGAACGGGCCGTCGCCGCGGAAGTGCGACCGCGGCCGCGGCGCCCCCGGGCGCCGCCTCGCCCCCTGGCGGCCGCGCGGCCGCCCGCGCTTCGGCCGCGAGCAGCGGCGGCGGCCCCGGGGCTGGCGCCCCCTCGGCACGCCGGGCCCTGCGCCTTCAGCCAGCGCGTGACCTGTCGGCGGCCTTTGAGCCGCGCAGGCCGCGCCTTCTTGTTCCCATGGTCTCCATTTGCTGGAAGCAAGGGCTTCTCGCAGGTTGCTAGCAGCTCTTGTGATACTTCCGCCCCCAGCAGGAAGGCGTCGAAGGTCTCGCTCGGATTGTCTGGATCCGAGCAGCGCGCCAAGCATTTCAGGGCAGACACTTCGCCGTCAGGGGCGGTCGCGGGAGCGATGCCCAAAATCTGCGTCTGCGGGGTGAGATTGTTCTGTCCAGCACGCGCCGTCTGACATTGGGCGCAGAAGAATCGCCCGGCGGGGGCATTCTTCAGACACCCCGCGTAGAGCTCCATCTGCAGCGCGCCCATGTTTTCGCAACCGCCCAGCCCGCCACGCACGAATCCACGCGCACCGTATTTCCCGTCCAGAAGGACAAGGAGATCGCCAGCACACATCGGGCAAGTGCGGGCGTGCTCAACGGCGCGCCCGACGCGGGCCTGGCGCGCGGCTGGCGCGAGAGCGAGCAACGTCGACTCCGAGCCGCCCCTGGTGAAAGACCACGCGAGTTCGGATGCGGCGCCGCCGGCAAGGCGGGCAGCGCGGTGCCCGTGCCAAGCGCCCTCCAAGCGAACGCCATTGGCTCGTAGAAGCGTTAAGTCTTCGCCAGGAATCAGCCCTCGCTGCGCGGGCTCAGTGTGTTGCTCGCTCCATGCCAGAACTGCGGAACTGAATGCCCCCCCCCACTGTGGCGTAGCTCGTCCGCGAGGAACTGCAATAGCTTCGCGTCGAGCGTGCCGAGCCTTCTCGCGCGGAACGAAGACATGCTTGAAGTAGCTGGACCCCGAAACCAGCTTGATGTTTATCATCTTCCCGTAAGTCCCTCGCCCGCTACTTCTGTCGCGCTTCTCGCACTGCCACTGCCCGAGAAAATACAAGGCGCACTTGGGGCAATATCCCTCCGAGAAGGAGGCGTTCTGGATCCCGGCGCCCACGGTGCAAACGCGGCACTGGGTCTCCAGAACCATCTTGCCGCCATTGCGCCGTTGAACATTGAAGGCCGCCCGGCTGCTTGTCTTTGGGGCGCACTTCTGGAGGTCTGCAGTGCGACGCCGGGGGCAACGGCCGTGAGTGGAGCGCGCCTCAACTGCGGGGGCCGAAGGCACAAGCTTCTGCAGTTCTTTGAGGTACGGATAATTGAAATCAGAATCAACGCCCTTGCCGATGTTAAGATAGCGAGCGAGCTTCCAAATGATATTCGCCACGGCGTTGTCGGGCAACTCGACCCCGTGGTTCCGCTCCGCGAGCGCCCCGACGAAAGGCGCTGCCAAGGCCGAGGGGACCGCGGAAAGCACCCGCGCCACATCGCCGAAGGCCGCCGGCGGAAGGGGAGCGAGCACTGTGGCCAGTGAGAAATCGCGCCCCAACGGAGCGCCTGCCGCCATCTGGCTCAAGAGAGCCTGGGCGCTTGAGCCGACGGCGGCGACGGCCGGGGCGATGAAGGTGGAGACGACGCCCCTGGCGCGGGCGAAGGGCGATGCGGGGTGCCCTGGTCTCGTTCGAAGCTTCCCAACTCAGACGCCCACGAAGCTTCTCAGCCCAGAAATCCACGGCCTTGTAACCCAATGCGCCCCCTTCAACCTCGAGCGCCCTCCCGGGCACCCCCCCTAGTCCGTTGTCGCGCAAGTCGTCTGTCGTCGCGTCCGCTGTGGTCGTCGTCGTCGTCACGCCCGTCGTCGTCGTCGTGGTCGTCGTGGTCGTGGTCGTGGTCGTCGTCGTCGTCGTCGTCGTCGTCGTCGTCGGTCGTCCGTCGTCCGTGGTCTGTCGTCCGTCATCGCGTCCGTCGTCCCTAGTCGTGAAACCACATCCTGTTCCTTTTCCTTTTCCCCCTCCTTCCCCGTCGTTGCCGGGCCTTCAAAGGGGGGTCAATTTTGTGGATCCCCCCCGAGTCGGCTGGCGGAGCCCTGGTCGAACCCGTCGTCGTCGTCGTGTCGTCGCGTCGTCGTCGCGGTCGTCGCGGTCGTCGTGGTGGTCGTCGTTGTCGTCGTCCGGCGTCGACCGTCGTCGTCCGTCGTCGTCCGTCGTCCGTCGTCCTTGGTCTGTTGTCCGTCATCGCGTCCGTCGTCCCTATAATCGTAAAGCCACATCCTTCCCTCCCCGTCGTCGCCGGGCCTTCAAAGGGGGATCCATTTTGTGGGTCCCCCCCGAGGTCGGCCGGCGGTCGCCCTGTAGATTGCGGCGCTGCTGGTTCGGGGCCGGCTAAGCCGACTGAGGGTCGGCGAGAAGTTTTTTCAGGGCCGGCAAGAAGCCGACTGAGGGCTGGCTCATGGGCCAGCTCGATCGCTGGCCAGAGGCCGGCTACAGGCCCGGCGGCCAGGCAGAGGCCAGCGTGGCTATCCGGCCGAGAGCCAGCGAAAAGGGGCAGCCTACGACTTGGACGCCCGAAATGGGCACGGAAATGGGCACAACGCCCAACGACGAATGTTGTCCCAAACCAACAGCGGCCGCTGTTGGGCAGGCGGCTTTCTGTCTCGAATGGACACAGTCCGCGGCGGCGCGGACAGCGAATCCTGTCCAAAATGAACAGGAACTGCTGTTGGGCATTGTACCCATTCTTTCCGCGCCCATTTCGGGCGCCCAGATAAGCGCGGGGTTGGCTAGAGGCCAGCTAAGGGCTTCTTATAGGGCCAGGTAGAAGCCAGCTATAGGGGCCAGCTCAAGGCCGGCGAAGGGCGCGCCAGGGGCAAGGCCGGGTAGAGGCCAGGCCGGCGAAAGGCCAGCCACAGGCCGGCTTGTGGCCGGCCGAAGGCCGGCTGAAGGCCAGCTGGAAGCTGGCTGAAGGCTCCGGCCGGCCGAAGGCCGGCTGGAAGCCGGCCGGGGGCCGGCTTTGGTGGGCTGGCTGAGGGCGGCGCGCGGGGGTCGCGGAGGTCGGCCCCTTGCTTGCCAGAGGGCGGCCGGGCTATAAAGCTGACCGAAGACTGACTGGGCTCCGCGCCGGGCACAGGCTAGATTATCGGCCGGCGAAAAACAAGTCCACGCGCGGGTCGGGGGCGGGCCGCGGGCCAGGGCGAACCCGACGCGGAACCAGGCCGCGACAAGCCGGCGCCCGGCCCACGGGGAGACGCGAACCAGCCCAGGGTCGGCGCGGGGAGTTGGGCGGCGTCCCAAGCGCAAACTTGCGAATAAATCTGCGGCCTTTCGTCATTCCCGTCTGCCGCCTTCCTGCCCTGCTGCCCCCGTCCCTTTCCCGAGCGGCAGAGAGAAGCGTTTTTTGGCTCGCCGTTTCCCCCGCGCGTCCGCGGCCGGGCCACTGGCCGCCGCCCCAGCCCCCGCCCGGGGGGCCCCGCCAGTCAGGGGCCTTCCACCTTGAGGAACTTCAGGGCGCCGGGGTTCGCCTTCCCCATGATCCAGGACGTGGACATCCTGTGGTGCCAGAGCTCGTGGTCGCGTTTCTTCGAAGTCTTGAGCTCGCTCTTCAAGTCCTGGGCGGCGGTCTTCAAGTCCTGGGCGGCGGTCTGCAGTACGGCGTTCTGTTCGGTGAGTTTGTGAAGTTGCCGTTGGTGTCTCGGTTGTCTCCTGTCGTTCGGCAGGCGAGGGCCCTCTGCAGGTTCCTCTTGTCCTCGCTCAGGCGGTTCACTTTGGCGCCAGGGTTCCGAAGCCTACGGGCGGGCGAACGCATCCATTGCCCGCCGCCGTTCCCTGCTGCTCGGTCCACGGCAAAGGCACGGGGGCCCCCGCGGGACTGAGCAACTGGGGCGAACAGGGCGGGAGTGGGTAAGCGTTGCCCCGCCCGGCCTCCCGTTCTCTTTGGCGTACTTGTTGCACTCCAGGGTTTTCGCCCTCAGCTGCTCGGTCAGGGCCGATATTTTCTGGGCGTGTTCTTTCTTGACTTGGATCCGTTTTTTTTGTTGGTGAGCAAGCCGACCACCCGAGCGCTCTGAGCGAACTTGCGTGCACGCTGTTCCCTTCTGCGCGACTTGTTTGCGATGACCTTATCCCTGTAGCGCTTGCTCTTCTTAGAAGGGTCCGTCATGGGCCAAGCGCGTGCCGAGGGATGATTGATCTCGGGAGGCTGCGGAAGGAGATGGAGTGGAGGAAATGGGGGAGCAAGGCAGGATAGAGAGAAGAAGGAAGATGATCAAGGGAAGAGTGGCAATGAATGGCAAGAGGGAGGAGGGATGACGGGGAGGGGGAAAATGACGGGGTAAATGAGCACGGGGGTGAGGGGAAGGGGAGGGCGAGGAGGCTATCGAAACAGGCGGGGGTGCACAGGCGGAAGATGCCACGAATGTCCCATGGTGTACCTGTGGCCGGGTCCTCGTGAAAGAGCCAATCTTGAGGCTGAAATTGCGAGGACGTCTCAGGCGGAACCGGCCAGACCAACTCAAATCAAGACGTCTCGGAGCCCAGAGGTCCGAAGATGCCTCATGGGAAATGGGCCGGAGCACTTCGAAAACCGCACATGGGATGCCCCAGTATGGCCCATGAAGGCCCCAAGAGGGCTCCAAAACGGCCCCCAAGAGGGTCCAAAGAGCGGAAGCTCGACAGACTCCTGTATGAATGATTCGTCCCCGTCGTCATCCTGGTCGCTAACAATCGCCTTCGCCCACATCGTTCTCCTCCTCCTCCTCCTCCTCCTCCTCCCCGTCGTCTTCCTTTTCCCGTCCAACCCTCGTCCTTCTCCTGATCCCCCAGCCCTCCCCGTCTGCGTCTCCTGATCCTTCTCCTCCTCCTCTACCTCGTCTTGCTTCTCCTTCTCATCTCCTTCATGTTTGAAACCATCATCACCGTTATAATCATCATCATCACCACCACCATGATCATCATTATCGCCGTCATCACCACCGTCCTTCCCGCTGCTGTCCACATGTCCACATCAGCAACATCATCATCAGTGCCGTCATCACTATCATCATCATCATCATCATCATCATCATCATCATCATCATCATCATCATCATCATCATCATCAGCATCATCATCATCATCATCATCATCATCATCACCACCACCACCACCACCATCACCATCATCATCATCATCATCATCATCATCATCATCATCATCATCATCATCATCATCATCATCATCATATTTACCACCCTTCTCATCATGATCATCCGCATAATCACCATCATCCTTCTCACCATCACCATCGTCATCATCGGCATCGTCATCATCATCATCATCATCATCATCCCCCCCGGTCTCCGCAACTACGCACCATCATCGTCGTCGCCATCATGATCATGATCACGATCACCATCATGTTTAGCATCATAATCAGCATCATCATCACCACCACCACCATCACCATCATCATCATCATCATCACCATCACCACCACCACCATCATCATCATCACCACCACCACCATCATCATGATCATCATCATCATCATCATCATCACCATCACCATCACCATCACCATCACCATCACCATCACCATCACCATCATCATCATCATCATCATCATCATCATCATCATCATCAACATCGTCATCTACATCGCCATCGTCATCGTCGTCATATCATCATCCTTCTCATCATCATCGTCATCGTGATGGCCAAGTCCTGGCCGGGTCCAGGCCAAGCCCGGGCCGGGTTTGGGCCGGGTCCGGGCCGGGTCCGGGCCGGGCCGGGTCCGGGCTGGGTCCGGGCCGGGTCCGGGTCCGGGCCGGGTTTGGGCCGGGTCCGGGCCGGGTCCGGGCCGGGTCCGGGCCGGGTCCAGGCTGGGTCCGGGCCGGGTCCGGGCCGGGTCCGGGCGGGGTCCGGGCCGGGTCCGGGCCGGGTCGCCGGGTGGGCGCCTGGTCGGGGAAGCCTTGTCAACACCTTTCTGCTATATATGTATATATACATATATATAAATACATATATATATATATATACATACATACATACATACATACATACATACATACATTCATTCATTCATTCATACATACATACATACATACATACATACATGCATGCACACACATACATACATACCTACATACATGCATACATGCATGCATACATACATAAACAAATACATACATACATACATACGTACATACATACATACATACATACATACACATACATACATACATACGTACGTACGTACGTACATACATACATACATACATACATACATACATACATACATACGTACATATAGATACTATAACCATCGCGCGCGCTTCGCGCGCGCTCAGGTTCTAGCCCAGGCCGGGGGCGCGCTAGAAGATCTTGGACAGCGTTATCAAGCACAGGCGCGTGACATAGTCGTGCCTCCTGAGGGCCTTTTGGGAACCTCTTGGGTCTTCGTGGGGGCATCTGAAGGGTTTCTGGGGGGTTTTCCGTGCTTCCTCAATTGGCTGTTGGAACCCGGCGGCCCCGGCGGCGTCCCAGGAACGGTCTCAGGTTTTTGGACCGGGGGCCGCATGTAGACGTACATGAAGGTTTCTGGGGAAGCCTCTCAAAAAGCTCGTTGGAGCCCTCTTGGGGGTGTCCTGGGGGCTTCCTGGGAACCT